TCTGGGGGCTGGGAATGCTGCTCCAAGCAGCCAGCACCTTCCAGCAGATTTCCAGAGAACACTGGGGCCTTTCATGCCATTGCTCAGCTGGGTGGTCTGGAGCAGTTTCTGTCCTCCAAAAAGAGCCTGTTTCCATACTGGCCACACATCCCCAAAGGCGGGGCCAGCTGCCCCAAATTATTCAGTGCTCTCATCCCAGCACCGGGGAGACCAGGCTGTCACCAGGACAGAGCGCTGCCTGGGACCATTTGTCATGGGCCTGACAGGATCCAATGTGGGATCTACTGAAGAGAAAAAACCTGCTGAAGGACTGGGAGCCAGGCACTCCGGAGCCAGAATCCCAACTCTGACAGTGTGAAAGCTACTGTGTTCTGCACAGCACAGGGACAGCCCTCTGGCTCCTGGCTAGTGTCAGCCCGGGCAAGGAGGGAGGGGCAGGTCCATGCTCCTGGAAGGGCCAGAGCCTTGTGCAAAAGGGGCAAGGCTGAGGCAGCCAGCCCTCAGCACCACCTGGAATACGGCATCCCCCCAGCCCTCAAAGCCACCCAGAGCCCACCACGTGGTACTCCAGCGGCAATTTAAAGGGCCTGGGGATCTAGCTGCCAGGGAAGTGGCTGGGGGCCCCGCCCCAGAGACTGGACCTCCAGGTGCAATGCAAATCTCAGCATTTATGCCTATGTTTGCTCTATTCTGTAGTGCTCTGGATACTAAGGAAATTCTGCCCAGCTCTTTGTTCATTCCTGAGCAGACAGAGTTGTCCTTCCCAAAGCTGCCTCTGGAACTGGAAGCAGGCGCAGCCCTGGCTGCCCAGCCACATGGGAGTGAATCCTGCTTGTGCCTCCTGATGTGAGCCAATGGAGCTTCCCTTTTACTGCTTGTGCTCTTTAGGGCATGATTGGGGAGGGGGATACAGGAAAGATTTGGGGCTGGCAGATCCTGGGGCTAGAAATGCAGAGGAAAAAGAAGTTGTTGAAATGCCCTGCCCTTTCCAGTCATCTGTTCCTGTTCTGCCTTCCAGAGACGCCCTTGTTACCAGCGCGGTGAATTGTCTGACCAGCTTCCTGTCAGGGTTTGTCATTTTCACAGTGCTGGGCTACATGGCTGAAATGAGAGACGTGGAGGTGGAAGATGTAGCAAAAGACAAAGGTTTGTCTCTCTTACACCAGCAAGCAGCCTATCTGCAGCCATACATTCGGATGGGGGAGGTTAAACCAGGGTATGGAGCATCAAGATCTGAGTTAGGTTCCTTGTTTTGCTGTAAGACCGTGGGCAAGTCACTTCCCTTTCTGTGTCTCAAAGTCCCTATCTATCTCAAGGCAAGACACTTCCCACTGACCTCCTGGGGCTTATATAACCTTTGTCGAACAGTGATCACTGGATGAAAGGCTTGATTCTGGACCACAACTCAGGTTAGAGCCTTGCCTAGAAGTGTCAAAGCACTGAGGTCACACAAATGCACATGGGGGCAGAATTTAGCCCTCTGCAAGCTAATAAACATTGGGTAAGCAACTGGGTGTGGTGCCTACTACTGGAGATTGCAGATATAGTAACAGCCAATGCTCAACTGAATAGGCTAAACCACGGCAAGGTCAATTGAGCTATGGAATAACTTGGCATGGGAGCAGGGAATCCCTAGCAATGCAGTAAAGGAAATTCCAGACTGGTATTGCCTGGTAGGTCTGAGTATACTGAACATGGAAAGTTGGCTTCAGGTACACAGCTCCAGCTACGTAAATACCATAGCTGAAGTCAACATACCTTAAGCCAAGCTTAGTGCTGTCTTCACAGTGCGAGTTCGGTGGGAGCAAACGTTCCCATCGGCTTCCCTTACTCCTCACGACTGCCAGGAGTACCGGCACCAACTGGGGGTGCCCTCGGCATTTGATTTAGTGCGTGTTTTCTAGACCCACTAAACTGAATGCCAGAAGACGGATCTTTGGCACTGCAAGTGGAGACATGCCCTGAGGGCAAGATTTTCACAGACATTTATCTGTCAATTTGAAAATCTGCACCAAAATGTTCCTCCATTATAGGAAGAAAATCACCCTATTTCTTTCAGCTTGAGCAGAAGGCAGACACCCAGGGACTTTCATAACCCAGACTAGCTTCATAGGAAATGGAGGGAAGGAAATAACCGGATGTTCCCTTTTAGGTCCAAGTCTCCTTTTCATCACCTATCCTGAGGCTATTGCAAATATGGTGGGCTCTACCTTCTTTGCCATCATATTCTTCCTCATGATGATCACTCTGGGGTTGGACAGCACAGTAAGTTCTTTGATTTCCCTTTGGGGAGAGAGCAAATTGATCCTACAAAGGCACGATTGTACATTCCGCGTGTCTTGCTCCCTGAAAGTTTACACTGGGGTGGGATTTTCAGCCATTCCTGTGCATCATTCAAAATGGGGAGTACACATGGGGGCAGGGGCAGGGGCAGTAACAAAGAATATCCCCAACTTACATCACTTGCTATGACCCATGTGTGGATGAAGTCAACATGATTTGGATCCATCTCTGTTCAGTACGATTTTGGTCCTGCTTCCCCCAGAGTCCATGGAAAGAGAATACTGACTTAAAAGAACTAGGATTGTGTCATGAGCAAGGCTCGACAGCACAGCCACACAGTGCGGTCAGCGCATGTACAGTGCGCCAAACCGCGTGGCTGGGGGAAAAGGCTCCCCCCCGCCTTGCGCGGCGT